AGATTTAAGATTTTTTTATTTCTCGGGAGTATTTTGAGACGGCAGTAAAACTTCTATGATTGCACTGATGATATGTCATTAGTTCTCCAATAATGATTTTCGGGGGATGAAAAAAAAATTCGGATACCCGTCATCTCGGTCATTATAAACATTACATAAGGATGCCAGGTTGCACAACAAGTTTCTTTTATCAGTACCATCCGTTTAGTCATTTCCGTCGAGCGCATTCCGGTCTTTATCAAATTATGCTCTCTACTTCACCATGCGACCGCTCTCAGGTTTCAAGTATTAACCGTTCTGTGTACTTAGACTTCATTGCAACTCAGTGAAAATCGAATAATTCGTGAACAACCGGAGAGCAGTCCTTGGAGACTATCAATGAGACACTCCGGCATTGGGCCAAGTCGTTAAGAGCATTCAGAATACCGAGGACAGGACTGACATTTACACGAATAAAATAAACCTCAAGAAAGTGTTAAAAAATCGTTAATGCAAGTACACGAAAAATCATCAATCATTTGGCGCAATGGAATTACATAATTCCGACAGGTTAAGATTTTCATGAAAAAAATGTCTTGATCTAATTGAGTTTTAATGATTTCCGGTAGCGAGTGGGTGTACGAGGCTTCATTGTTTCGGAAGGTCAAAAATTCAACGAAGAACGATCTTGTGAAGAACGTGGAATTCAAAATTGTCACGTGTTGGTCAGGTACTCGTGTACCCGGTGTTATTCCAGGGGATCATTACCTTCAATTCGTTGATTTCCACAAATTTGTCATTTTTCAATTAGTACAATAAAAAATTCCCTCGGTTTCTCACATTTATCCACTTTTTCCATCTTGCCGATTATGTATGACTAATGGTAATTCTCCGCGGGTGTTTATGCAATGTGCAGAACGTTACGATTGGAAACTAGATAGAAACGTCATATTCGTATCTGTGTCGCGTGTGTCAATGTGACATGTCATTAACTTTCTCGTACTTGTTATTTTTATGGGGATGATGATGATAAAAGTGAAAGGTTCATGATTACTCACCATACATAGGTCCAACAACAACCATAACAATAATCATGAGCACAGCGACTCTCTTCTGGCGATTATTCGCCCCTTTCTTGAAAGCAACCCTGAACGTCTCCTCGATGTGCCTGAACGAGAAAAAATCCACAATAGTTGCGCACACGGACATGTTAGTTCTTTTGACCGGCACATAATTATCAGGTCTGGGTGCTTCCTTGATTACAACTAATCCATAAACAAAGCTAGCAACATAACAGACCGTTGATATAGCAAAAACACCGTAAAATCCAATTTTAATGTACAAAATGCCAGACAACGCCATGCCAATGGGTACACTCAGTGATAGAAATACATTGACAGCACCAATTCTCAGTGTCCTGGACTCAACGGTTGTTATATCCCCGATGTAGCTGAATATAGCCATGAACATGGTGAACCAACCACCGGTTATCGCTGGCCAAAATGCTTCTGATACACCAGCAGCTTCCATGGGCAATTCGTAGAACCAATACGTGCAGATTATCAGACTGACACTTGTCAGAAATTCACCAACTATTGGTAACAGCATACAGGGCTTCCTCAAACCAGTACGATCACTCCATGCACCCAGAAAAAGTATCAGCAGAGTTGGTAATCCACTCTGAAGTGCTAACTTCCATGTCTGCATTCCAGCAACAAGCTGTTGAACAGCAGTTTCCTCTTCCTCGTAACCCGTTGTATTTCTAGCGGCTAATGCACTACACACTCTGTCAGAATACCCAAGATTAACTCTACACGCTTTTTCTAGATTCAAATTCTGTGTTGCAAGTGATGCTAATACACTTGGCATTATGTAGCAGGCCACCATAGGTTCAACAGTTATATTACTAGATAAAAAATGCAACTTCTCCCGAAAGCTCATCGATTTTTGGCTCATTAAATTTTCACTGGGCGATGACAATGATTTTTTACGATCATCCGATGATTCCACTGGGGATGACGATGGTATTGTCCCCTGGAGGACCACGTTGTTCGTCATTTTGGTCTATTTGTCGATAATCCTCGGTTGTCCAGGTGGCTCAGCTGTTGACTATTGAATGACCACTCGATTATAAAACAGCAAGAGGTTCCTTCACTCATTCACCACCGTCACCACCACCTCTGCCACCGCCAACATCACCACCACCACCAATTTCAATCGCTGATTCTTTGTGTTCTTCTAATGCTGATCGTAGAGATGACGTTTGATCATCGATTTGCCCAAGATAAATCGAGTATTCTCTTTCTCAACTAATGTACCACTACGTACCGCACTCCACTGTTGCCTATTGGCATAGTGTGCAATGCAACTTCGCATCTTTTACAGGGCCCCTCTTCCATTTTGTCCCTCTATACCTTCTTCCCCCTCTGTGCTACTCGAGTCCATCCACCCATGCATTTAACTTGTATATATACTTACTCCCCTGATCACTTGGACGGCCTTCATCGAAGAAATCCTCCAGTTGTCCAAATTATCATCATCAAACAATACTCATTACCTCGAGCTAATTAATTCATTGTATCCCGATGATTAGACATTCTGCCCTTTCAGGAATCGGCTGGCCCATTCCACCATGGGCATTCCACACATCAGCAGGATGAAGACCATTTATTATGTTTTCTTTTCTTTTCTTTTCCTCCATTTTTTAATCCACTCTTCGAGATAATAAAAAATCCTCCGAGTCAATGAGTTTATCGTACCATTCCGATGCTCTCAACAAACATGACAATAGACTTCTTCACAACTTCTTGCAGAAGATGGAATCGTTTGGAGAGTCTCGGCCGGTACCCATTGAAAATTCTCTCGTTCTTCATTTTAGACCGGTTTTCAGTTTGAAAATTATTTTTCCATTCCAATCATCGCAAATCCCTGGGATTACGAAAGGGGAAGATGCAATTTCTTCGGGGGCAAGAGTCCGTAGAAAGTTTCAAGTCTTCCTGTCGCTGTTACTGTCATCATCTCCATTGAAGATGAAAAATGGTGGATTGAACGGTTCAATGTAATGCCCTATTGCATAACTCTTTTCTTTGAATTATAATAGAAAAAGGTGTGGACGATTACGTCGGTCTCACAGAATAATTCAACCGCAGTCGTTGATTTTCCAAATGAAAATAATCACAAAATACCAGAGAGAAGAGAATAATGTATTTATCCTTCACTCTTACGTAAAATACATTTTATTGTAAAGGCAGTGTCAATTATACCTTGAACTTCAGCTGAAGTAGAAAATGTTTACAATCAGGCATGACTTTAAGTGCCTGGGGCAACAAGGACGTTGGAGAGCTTATCTAATTTACTTCATCAACACCCAAGATTACAACGAAGGAAGGGGATAAGAATTGTCGTACAGACCGCCCGAAATTATCTCGTGAGCCTTGTTATCGGTCTAACTGACACAGAAAAAAAAAACAAGTGGATAATTGCATTTTTTATAAATGAGTTCAGTTATGGCTGGTAATAAATAAACATTTCCTTCCGAATGACTTATTCTTTTTAACGTTTACCTCTTCATTTTCTTATTTCATTACTCCCAATAATTTAATATATTCTCTTCTAGAGAATCTAATTTGATAAGATTAAGTCAAGAATTACACGGGAATGAGTAAGAACTGTCAATCAATATGAATAAGCACTCACTATAATAGACAGGTACTTGAGCTCACCAGAGATGAAGGCCCTCAGATAAAAAAGTACGTGACACCATTGTGTAACTCGAAGGAAGCAATAACAATCAGATATTCTTCAAAATAGTGATTTATTTTACTTTACTCATTATTTTTATTCTCAAAATTTATGCAACTCGTGGTGATTACGTAGAAAGAGAGAACACCAAAGAGATAAAAAAAGACATTAATTTTGTGTGGAAATATTGAAAAGGGTTAATGGTATTTCCAGGGTCTAGTGGTTGACGAGGACTTCGTAGTCCCTGAAGGAGAGCTCTTGGCCATCGTATGGGATGTAGATGCAGCCGTGGCTTGCCTGGACTTTGCCGACAGTCTGTGCACCGTTGTGGAGTACACGGCCGACGTACAGAGGTTCACCCTCGGTGGTTTGTCCACCGACAACAGCTCCATCGGGAATTACACCGTTGCTCGCAAATTCCCAGGAAAATTCCGGCTGACAGAGGACCTGGGGAGAGCCAATAATTAAGCGAAATTAATTAAAAGATATGTTATCAGCTGATTACCTCGAAATCGGACTTTGCGTGCTCCTCGCCACCGTGGCTGACGTACGCCGTATTTCTCGCTGGAATAACTTTTGCTGGAATGACATCTCCACAGTGATAAGCTCGCCCGACGTAGATGACGGATCCGTCGATATCTCGTCCTCCTGCCACCGCCCTCTCAGGAATCGGCTGGCCGATGTGACAATTCACCCATCTGTAGGCTGAAGACAATTTATCACGTTATTTCCTTTTTTTTTCTGTTGGCTTTTTTTAATCCGCTCACTCCTCGAGATGATAAAAAATTCTTATCATTTAATCGCATCCGCGTCTTCGATGGGATAAATCGGTGTGCCTTTGGTGCATAAATATTTATTCTGGAGATCGAAATGGCATTGACAAGTCTCAGTCTTGGTTTTTTGCACTTTCAACCACTGATTTCACTCTTTTTTGCCCGATAGATTAAGAAATGAAAAAAATTAAATTACGAAGCTAATGAGCCGAGATAATACTAGTTATTAACGGAATCTCTGCTGGGGTAATGAGTTAGCAGAGGTATTACTGGATATTGAATATATTTAAAATACTTACCTGGCATTCTGTTAGCGGGTTATTCAATCAGAGTGTTTTAACGCGAAATGAGACTAGAATCCACTGATTACCTGGTTAAAAGCGAATGTTATCTTATCATATCTGTTGCTTTTTATTTGAATAGTCCCCATACGCTTTAGGGGCGTCACCTCCTTTCCCGGAATCGATGACTGATAATATATTTTTAATGACAGATGTTACCGAATTGATGATGACTAATAGAATTTTTGCACTTTTATTTTACATTCTCATTCCCAAATTATCTGAAAGAAATCATCTCGTCAGAGTGATTCTCACGTTTGAATTTTCCCGCGTGGTTACAGTCGGGGACGTCGGGAAATTTCGTGGTAGTGGTTATCGTGGATGAGAGTCACTGGGTGCATGAAACATGTATGCAAGACACTAACCTCGTAATTGAAGTGACAAAAATTCTTGTATGCGTAAATGTTTAGTTTTTTTTTTTTACAGCTGATACCAGATTATCGTGAAGCAGTTGCCCCTGTCATTTTCTTGTATCTGGTGTGAAAAGGAATCTCGTGACGAAATAAAAATGAAGAAAAAGGTATCATCTGGGGATTGTTTTGGAGTTGAATACTTGTTCGACACATTTGTTAATTAGTTATTCGTTTTTATTTATTAATTTTGTTTGTTCAGGTTTTGCTGATGGGAAAGAGTGGGTCGGGAAAGACTAGCATGCGAAGTATTATTTTTGCTAATTACATCGCGAGAGACACTCGACGTTTAGGAGCTACAAGTGAGTAATTCCGTTGTGACTCATTTATTCTTCAGTTGTGTGATGTTAGAGGTCTGGTTTTTGTTGGAGAATGATTAATAATTAATATTGCGATTAATTAATTATTTATAGTTGACGTGGAGCACAGCCATGTACGTTTCCTGGGGAATCTCGTTCTCAATCTCTGGGATTGTGGAGGGCAGGAGGCTTTCATGGAGAATTACTTCGCTTCACAGAGGGACAACATCTTCAGGAATGTTGAAGTTCTCATCTATGTTTTTGATGTTGAGTCTCGAGAGCTTGATAAGGATATGCACTATTATCAGAGTTGTTTGGAGGCAATTCTGCAGAACAGTCCTGAAGCCAAAATATTTTGTCTCGTTCACAAGATGGATTTGGTGCAGGAGGATCAGAGGGATCTTATATTTCGTGAGAGAGAGGAGGACTTGAAGAGACTCAGTCTACCTCTGGAGTGCACATGCTTCAGGACGAGCATTTGGGATGAAACTTTGTACAGAGCTTGGTCTTCTATTGTTTATATGCTCATTCCAAATGTCAAAGAGCTGGAGCAGAGTCTCAATCAGTTTGCCAATATAATCGATGCTGATGAAGTGCTGCTCTTCGAACGTGCAACATTCCTCGTAATTAGTCATTGTCAGAGACGTTTCCACAGGGATGTCCATCGATTCGAAAAGGTCTCCAATATCATCAAACAGTTCAAATTGAGCTGCAGCAAATTGGCTTCACAATTTTTGAGCATGGAAGTGAGAAACACTAATTTCGCAGCATTCATAGATGTTTTCACGTCGAATACGTACGTTATGGTTATCATGTCAGACCCTGGAATTCCCTCTGCCGCAACGCTCATCAACATTCGCAATGCTCGAAAACATTTTGAAAAACTGGAGCGCGCGAGTCAGAGCTCAGCACTGAGTGGATAGAACTCAGCAAGACCCAGGCGCATTGCCCGGGTCCAGAAGCTCAATTGGCTTTAAATCATTTTGTACTCGCATTCGCAATCAGTCGTTCCTGGGTGGAAAGCAATCACTGACTATTCGATATACGTCTGATCTTTGCACAATTGCCGAGAGAACATCATGGAATGAAACAACGATTTACAGTGTTTTGACGTGGAAGGAGGTGAAATTATGTTGCCAAGTGGTATAATAGGATAAGTCGATTTTTCTCGAAGCCAGATTTAAGGCAATATCTCAGAATTAAAGAAGTATCATGATATTTTCATGAATACCTGTTTTGTAGGTCTCATCTTTTTCTGTAAAATTTTTTTTTAAACACCTATCCTAATTTACCACTTTGCTACTGAATTGTGTTGATGGAATTAGAGAATGAGAAAATCATATCGATGCTAGGGAATTCCAAGCTATGTTGCATCCCTTACCGTTTGTTAAAGTCTAGTCCTCTAATAATGGATTATAATAAATGTACGTTATCAGATAGTTTCGATCGATTTTCAACTCCGTGATCCATTTTTTATCTATTCCGTGACATGAATTATTATTTCTTGGATAATTCTCGTATCAACTGCAAATGTATGGAATTTATTTTTTATCAATCCTCTCGAATGAATACGACAAATGAGAAACTATTTTCAACGGTGAACATGTAGTTGTTCCATTGGAACAGTCAATAAAGGAGGAATACCCTAATTTCGTCAAAATACATTTTTTCTCTACACTTTAAGTGCGAATATCTCCGAATCTAAGAAAAACACAGAATTTACCATTTCACCATTTTTGAAGCTCTCGATTATCTCTCCAAAAAATGTCATGACACATATTTCGATATCTCCCTTCAATTCCGAGATATTCGCCGAAAATCGTTGATGTCGCACTGTTCATGCGATGGGATGAAAACTTTACTATCTCGTGAATGCATTCGAATTTTCGCGCTCATGACGCAGCTCAGTGGCGAATGGCGAATTTATGTTTACTCATTGATCACCCATTCAGTATCGTCTGTGATAAGCTAGTGGAAGTAAGTGTTTTTTTAAAAATGGATAGAATAATCAAAGGGATAATGAAGTACAGACAGTGCCATAGGGACGGAATGGTGAAGCAATTTCAAATGGTTCGAGATCATCCCGAGGTGGGTATCAATAAAAATTCTATTTATCAAATGCTATGAGTGTTTTTATCGTATATATATACTCACTATCACACGTGCACGTGGTAACTAATATAACTTCATTCACATGCTTTATTCCGTTGTTGCTAAATTGAGCCAGCAATTTGAAAATTTGAATGGCACTCATGAGAGAAATGCATTGGTAAGGGAGATATTTAATATATGTTTCCTTTTTATCACAGCCTAAGGCAGTGTTCTTTACATGCATGGACTCTCGGATGATCCCTACTAGATTTACAGAAACCAATGTCGGGGATATGTTCGTGGGTATGATAAATTACATAAACACGAAAAAATATTAGAGATATTACTGATGTGACTGTGTGCACTGGGTTATCCATCAAAATACCACAATTCAAAATATTACCTCAGAAAATCATAACAAAAAATATTACAACTGAAATAATTATTGCTTCAAAATATTACAGTTAAAAATATTTCAAAACAGATTATTTCGGAATATT